ATATAATGTGAATACATGCAGAAGTAGACAGTAAGAGGCCCCTGACATTAGGCCTATTTTTAAAAATAGTAGCGGCTTTTCACTCTGCATAGCAGTATGAACAGCCTTAAAAATAAAAAATAAACCCACTCTGTGGTAACGAGAGTCATATTTCTGACCCATATGCCCTAAGTGAAGCCGTTAGTCTCATCTAACTGACCCAAGGGTTGGTGCTGGTGTGGTGGGGAGGCTTCCAGGTGTACAAAGCAGATGTCAAGCTTTCAGTTCATGGCTCATTGGGGGGGAGCAGGCCCACGTGAGACAGTATCCACGGCTGTAAAGTCCAGTTTGAGGCTCGTCATTCTCTCTGGGAGAAGGAAATGGTGCCCATTCTCGGACCAAACCATTAATGTCATGTAGAGCAGCCATAGCATCTCTGTGACTGCACTCAGCCGGACTGCTGCAGAGCAGAACTGGGTGACTCTTAGTGAAGCTGTCCAAGGCCATAGGCAAAATGGAACCACATACCAACAAAAAGGACACGGGGTCATCAATATCTCTCTTTACCTTTGGCCTAATCATAAAACAAATTAGTGGGAAAAATGTGGAACACTAATCCATCATGTGAAATGTAGAGTTAATTTATATAATTACTTATGGGTTGAAATTAAATTAACATTAACATTAGAACTAAAGTCAGTTAAAATTGGACATGCACTGATCAGTAATCAATACACCATTTTCCCAGCTCTGTGATGAAAAGGAGAACAAGCAGGGATGCAAACTTGTCACCTTTTGGCGAAATTTGCCGTTTTGAATCCAAAATAGGTCGATTGTGTGATTCATGTAGATCTGCAATAAAAATATTATTGGGGTATGGGCAGGGTTGCCAACTTTGGGTACCCGGCTGGAGTGAGATTTTGATATCATGGGTTTAATTACACACATGCGCACGAAATGACTGCTATCGTGTCAGTAGCGGGACCTTAGCATATATTTAGGATATATATACAATATATACAATATTGGACACAGACTATAAAGGGCAGACAGTTTCATTCACTAATGAAAGCCCACACATGTTTGTTTCTACTGTTTTATTGTGTGCCTGTCGCGATAAGCAATTAATTGACTTATCGGCTCCCGAGTATTTGTGTTGGGTCATCTATGGTAGGGCTAACCCATACAGTGGTGGGGCTCAAATCAGTATTTGAAATGTAATTACATACACGCTATATCGCCCCCTTGACAGTGAAACACCACGCATGAGGTTTAGATTATTTCCCTGTCTCAATCCAAATTGAACTGTATGAAATAAAAAGGCACATTTGTCTTGTAGTAAATAAAAAAAGGCGACCTGGAGCCAATCCTGCAATTTACCCACAGGTAAAAGAGTTGACATGCTGAAAACCCAACCCCCGCAGGGGGTCTGGGGGGATTCTCCCCCAGGTGATTTTTTTAAATACTAACATAAAATACACATTCTCTCTTGAGATGAAAAATAAATCCATCTATTACTACACGACATATTTAAATGAAGCTGAACCTGCTGCTCCTCACAGAGAGAAGAGCCTGTGTGAATGACTTTACATTGTGGATAAGGGTGGATAGCCCCCATTGTTCTGTGTGTCAAAATGGAAGACAGCCCACACACCTATCAATCATCAAACCGTGGGGTCTTATTTCATTATGTGATGATTTCTATCAACACGTAATGTTGTATCAATGTATATAGAGATGTACTACCGCAAAAGTATTCTCCGTCGGGACTTCCTGCAACAACACCACGCCGTTATAATACAGTGCTGAGAATGAACGCACTCTTGAACGCCGTCATGTACAGCGCTGAGAATGAACGCGTTCTCAATTACGTTAATCTAGCGGAAATACAGTACGTTCAGTTCACGTTCGCCCAAAATATGAACGCGTTCAGGTACATCACTGCCTACGGATGCGTTCGTTAATATTAGCTGTGTGGTCCGGAGTGACTGTGGCACAGACTGGACCGCTGGTGAACAGCTGTTAGAACGGGGTGTTCAGAGTAGAGCTCCCTGTCGGAGCGGCAGAGCGTGAAGTGAACTGAAAAATGTTTCTGGCTAACGTTAGCTTTAGTACTCAGATCTTGTTCTTGAGTAAAAGTAGAAGTACCAGAGTGTAGGAATTATCTGTTACAGTAAAAGTCCTGCATTCAAAATGTTCCTCAAGTGAAAGTAGAAAAGTATTCTCATCAAAATATAGTGAAAGTAGCGACAGTAAAAGTAGTCGTTGTGCAGATTGGTCCATTTCAGAATAATATATATGATATGTTTTATAATGATTGATCATGAAAGTGTTCTCAAAGCTGGTAAAGGTGCAGCTAGTTTGAATGACTTTGTATACTGCAGGGTAGCTGGTGGATTTACTCCAGGTGGAACTAAAGTCTGATTATAACACTTGATTAGATTTCACATCATTCATCCACATCTGTGAAGTAACTAAAGGTATGAAATACATGTAGTGGAGGAAAAGTACACCATTTACCTCTGACTTATGTTTACTGCCAACCTAAAAGTACCTCAAAAATAGTAATCAATAATGTATTGAAAAGTTATTTGGCTGATTGTTTTATATTGGCTCAGCCAGGTTATATGGGAGGCCTATGTACAGATCACTCATTTTAAAATATTAAACTTAGTTTTATTTTCTTAAATTGTTCATCCTCATGTAGAATGCTATTATGAAACACACATTTGTTTGTTTATAGCATAAAGAACATCTGATTTAATGTGAGGTAGGGAAATGATCCTTTGAGTATAAGTATGTATATGCAAATATGTAATTTACAACAGCTGTAAGATGCTTGAAAAGCTTGAAAATGCTTGAAAAGTGCTTGAATTTGACTTTGGAAAAGGTGTAAGAACCCTGTTTCAAAGCATTAATTATGATTGGGTTGGTACATTTTTCTTTTATATTTTTAAAACTCCCAAAATACAGTAAGTCCTGTAGAGCACATTTTGATAATGAGGATTCAATATCCAACAATGTAGAAGAGACATCATTCTTTATCCATTGAGATATTGCTGTCAGGTGAGCACAGAGCTGATACACTTTAATATTTGGCAGGTCTAAGCCACCCATAGACCCAGGCAGCTGCAGCACAGACATTTTTATTCTAGGTCTGCGTTTGCTCCATATGAAAGAGCTAAGCCAGCTATTTAGATCCTTAAGCACCCTGTTTGAAAATAAAATAGGAATCATCTGAATGGGTTAAAGCAACCTGGGTAATACATTCATTTTAATCAGAGCTATTCGCCCAAGCCAGGAGATAGGGAGTGAGGTCCAGCGATCTAAATCTTGTTTTACCTTACCAAATAATGGAATAAAATTGGCTTTGTACAGTTGATTAAATGACGGGGTAATAAATATACCTAAATATTAGGGCTCTCAGTCTATTAAAATATTTAATTGCGATTAATCGCATGATTGTCCATAGTTAATCGCGATTAATCGCACATTTTTTATCTGTTCTCTTATCAACATATGAGTGCACAAATATGCTTTATGCAAATGTTTGTTTATTATCATTTGAACAATGACAAATATTCTCATGAATATTAAACACAACAACCTCTGAACATTAAAAATATCCGCCTCAATTCAACCTGGAACCTCTCTCATACAATACAGTGTGTGTGTGTGTGTGTGTGTGTGTGTGTGTGTGTGTGTGTGTGTGTGTGTGTGTGTGTGTGTGTGTGTGTGTGTGTGTGTGTGTGTGTGTGTGTGTGTGTGTGTGTGTGTGTGTGTGTGTGTGTGTGTGTGTGTGTGTGTGAGAGAGAGAGAGAGACAGATGATGTGGAAGGCTGAGTAGCTTATCTGACATCTAAATGTTGGAAAATGGTACATTCTAGGCTGTGAGCTCCCCGTTTGAGCGACTAACTACTCCTTCGCTATGTAGCATTGCATTGGATATGGGCTGAACTTGTCCTGGAATGGAATTTTCCCGGCCATTTGCCTAGGAGGCATTAGCAGCAGTGTGCAGAAAAGGCATGAAAACTGCACATTTTTCAAAATGGCTGACTTTCTGAGGGCCCGGCCAAATGGAAGGCAATTTGAAAGATGTCCGCAATGATAAGAGCAATGTGTATACAACGTTTGTTTATGAAGGGCCGTGTAGGCCAAAATTCAAACTCACCTCACACACACACTACTGAAAACATCTGGCCTTGCACACACACTACTGAAATACTCTCACATTCACTACTGAACACCTCACACACACACTACTGAAAACATCTGGCCTTGCACACACACTACTGAAATACTCTCACATTCACTACTGAACACCTCACACATACACTACTGAAAATTAAGCCTCACACACACACTATTGAAATCCTCTCACATTCACTACTGAACACCTCACACACACACTACTGAAAATTAACCTCACACACACACTACTGAAAATTAAGCCTCACACACACACTACTGAAAACATCTGGCCTTGCACACATACTACTGAAATCCTCTCACATTCACTACTGAACACCTCACACACACACTACTGAAAATTAAGCCTCACACACACACTACTGAAATCCTCTCACATTCACTACTGAACACCTCACACACACACTACTGAAAACATCTGGCCTTGCACACACACTACTGAAATCCTCTCACATTCACTACTGAACACCTCACACACACACTACTGAAAACATCTGGCCTTGCACACACACTACTGAAATCCTCTCACATTCACTACTGAACACCTCACACACACACTACTGAAAATTAACGTCACACACACACTCCTGAAAAACATTTTACTGAAAGGTTCTCAGTAGGGAATGTGCATGTGTTTCACCTATGTGTGTGTGAGGGGATTCTTGCTGTAACGGAAGTCATTCTTGCTGTAACGGAAGTCATTCTAATGTAACGGAAGTCATCTGCTAGTGGTCTCTTTGCTAGCCCCGTTAGCTTCATTAGCTCCAGGCTGCTACTCGGACGTGTTTGTTGTGTTGATGCCTGGTGGAAAAATGGAAGCTAACCACACGGATCGTCTCAATCAGGCAGCAGCGTTAATAACGAGCATATTAACATCTGCGCAGCAGTCTACGTCCCCCGCCAGGAGTAACCTCTCCTCGGTAGATGGAGAGATCGCCACTCTTTTTCGCCAGGCCAACTCTACACAACCGAGCAGTTCAAGGCCACAGCAGCCCCCATCAACTCGTCAAAGAGTGAGGCAACATTTCAACTCGTGGGCCTCTGGAAGCAGGAGGAGGAGGTAAGATGTATATGGTTAAGTGTTTATTTGTTTATAGGAGTAACCGGTGTTAGTAAACACACGTTAGGGCCCAATAGCAGTGATGATTTTAATCATTAAAAGTTAACCCTTCTCTCGCCATTGACTTCAATTATTTCAAAATACAAATAAAAGCAATGGCTGAGACTGATGTTACTTCAGGGCATTTTGCACAGTCTTGTAATTATGTTAGCTTGTCACCAGCCCTAGAGTAAAATCACCTGGAACCCATCTAGTGGGTGTCGGTTTTTACTTCTCACCTTTTTCATCCCAAACTATTATTCATGCCTGAGATTGCGCGTAGCACACAAATGATTCAGAGCCTTACTAGTTCATCCAACAGTCACTGCAATAGTTTGAACCAGCTTCGTGCAGTTTGTAGTTTACTATTATATAGTCCTAACCTACCACAAGAAGATGAAATTAGGTTGCTATAGCATGTTGTTAAGGTCTTATTGTTACTTGACGTTTTGAGAGAATTAAGGAAAAATTACATTGTCATTAAATTGCATTGTGTCATAGTATGTTAAATGTTTAACTGGTTGGCTCTTATTTTTCAGGCCCACTTCTGTGGAGTACCATGACCATTTCAACAAGGATGTAATTCTACTCCCTGACCCAACATGGGAGTTTGTGTGCAAGCAAAAGTCCAAACAGTTCTTGCATGCAAATGGTCACATACTCAGTGCTTTTGAGTTCCATAAATCATGGAACCAGTTGACCCTATTCCGACAGATCCGGGATGAGTTCAAGCCCAGAATTCCTGAGGAAGTGAGGTAGGCTTAATTTGCCCAATATAAAAAATATGTGTAAAGACGTTTTTGATGTGGTTACTCTGGTCTTGGAACAGCTATGTAATGAGTCATTCTTTGTAACTATCATTCATGCATGCTGTGTCTGTTAATGTTTTATTAATCATGTAATGCTTATTATCTGTCAACTCTTCAGCTTGCAGTTTCTAATGGCTTGTGGAAATAAACTTGTGACACCTAAACTTAAAGAAGGTCAAGAGTTTGATGGTCACATGATTCACAAGGTCTTCAGGTCAAAAGCCTTGTATGTAAAACCATCAGTTGCTATTCTTGTAAGTTTACCCTTGTTTTTTAGATCCTGGATCTCATTTGTTTACATTTTTTTATTGACCTAATATCATTGTAATCCAAATATAATTGTTTTTCTCTTGATAAGGGTTACAACAGTGATACTGAGGATCAGTCCTGTGCTATCCAGGAGGGTCCCAGCACAAGGTCAAAGTCAAGGGCAACTCATCCCAGGGAAGATAGCAGCGAAGAGGGCCACAGCGATGGTTTAATTCTTGATGAAACCGCTACCTCCAGCCTGCCACTCAACAGCTATCTTCACACGACAAGCTCTCTGCCTCACACCACCAACTCCAGCTTCAGCTCTTCTGTCGTTCCAGTGACTACCAGTGTCACCTCTTCTGTCACGGCTTCCAGCTCGACCATTGCCCCCACATCTGACTACTCTTCATATGTGACCTTAATGAGAGATGTCTCTGATTTATCGTCGGATGATGAGGATTTAAATCGTGCAATACAAGCTAGCCTTCAAACTGAACAGTAAGTTATCATTTCATATAGTTATAGACATAACCAAAATATCAAAAATACTATAACACACATACAACTGCATGTTCATTAAAACATTTTATATAGTGAATCTTATTGTAATGCAAAACATGTAAAAGTTAAATTGTCCCTTCAGTAAAACAATAGATAATGAAGTGCCATTTCTGGTAATTGTTCTGTTTTTTTCAGAGCCCAGGCAACTGAACATGCCTCTGTTCAGGAGATCCTCTCAGAGTTGGCTGATAAAATCTCGGCAAATAGTCGCTGTAAATTCAACATCAACCGCTCGGCAGTGTTGGATGGTGCCTTCCGGAGCTTCAATCGGGCCACGTACGACCCCAATGCCACCATGAACATCAAATTTTCCGATGATCTTGGACGGAATGAGGAGGCAGTGGATTTGGGAGGACCAAGGAGGGAGTTCCTACGCCTTCTGATGGAAGCTCTGATGATGAGCTCCATGTTTGAGGGGTCAGAATATAGTCAGAATCTGGCACTTGATATTCCAGGTAATGTTTGTCCACTGTAGAAGTGTAGTCAGTAAATTCAAATAACATTTCAAATTCTACTGACTATGGTCAATAACAAAAGTCATTGTTGCTATCTGAGCTATTCAGATCTTTTCAACCACATACTGACTTTACAGCACACAGAGAGGACCGCTATTTCCTTGCTGGAAGAGCTATTGCTGTCAGTCTTGTCCATGGAGGCCCACCACCTAGTTTCCTCTCTACAACACTATTTGACTGCTTGGCTGCAGGCAGCCATACAGCCAAGCCAGTGTTGAAGGACATTGCAGACACAGACATCTACAATCAAGTGAAAAGGGTTGGTTTGCTGCAACTCAACAGATGCAGGATTATTTGGCCAACGCAGGGTGTCTTCGTCCGCTGAAAAGGGTTCAGGAGAAGGAACAGCTTGTCCATGATATCCTCATGTTTCAAGTTGTGCACCGGGTTGAAGCCCCATTCCAAAGGTATTTCCGTTTCTCTCTTTCTTTCTTTTGCTTTCTCTCAAACGAAAGTCTATCTTAGGGTTGGGCGGTTAATACGGTAATTGTCTATATCAGAACAATTACAAATATTAGCAAGGCAAGTTTATTTATATAGCACATTTAAACACAAGGCAATTCAAAGTGCTTTACAAAAGAACAAATTAAAAGCATTACAAGATGTAGTGCAACAGAAAAACATACATTTACGTTAAAGAAATCCTTTAAAAACAGTCATAAAAACCTGAAAGAAAACAAGCCTAAATGGAATTAACTTTGTTCAAAATACAAGAATAAAAGTTATAGTGCAGTGTAAGATAAAAACATTGGATTAAATAAAAGGCAGTGGCAAATAGAAAAGTCTTCAGCTTTGATTTAAAAGAAGTGAGAGTTGCAGTGGACCTGCAGTTTTCTGGCAGTTTGTTCCAGTTATGTGGAGCGTAATAACTAAACGCTAACCGCAGGTTGCCGACTCCTGGTTCAATGTAATCTTCTAAAATGTTGTGTTAAGTGTGAAACTAAAACAACAAGCGACAAGTTGAGCTAGCAAAAATAAGCGTAGTAATACATATTACCCGGCTGTAATACCGTATACTGGGGTATAATTTGACAAAGGTTAAAAGGAAAAAGTATTTAGAAATTACCTAGTATTTTTTTTTGCTTGCCTGGTCTAAAGTGCAGCGTGCAAACATTCAGTCAAACTTTTTAAATTAGCAGAATCCTCTGATGTCTGAGTACCCAGAATGTTGGTTTTCTGTCAGAGCCTTCATTTTATGAATTGAGAGTGCTCATCACTGAAATAAATATGTCTTTCTTCGATTAAAAAGGTTCCAAGAGGGGCTTAAAACCCTTGGAGTTTTGGGAAAGCTCCAGAAGAGCCCAGACAGCTTCCGCCCTCTATTCTGCCATCAGCAATCTGCACTGACTGCTGAGATAATGGAGGATTTGTTCCCCATCCATCTATCTGCGCAAGGCAGCAACAAGAGGAGAGCAGAGGAGATGGTGGTTCCCTACTGGAGAGACTACCTAATTGATGCGGAAGGTAATAGCTCTGGTTTGTAAAAAGTACATGACAAGTTGAAATGTTTATTGACATAGATCCATGTTGTCTCCTCTAGAACTTGTACTTTTCAATACAATCATTTCAGCCATAAAAACACATCTTGCTTTAATTTTTTTAAGATCAAGAGGGTCCTTCCAAACTTGAGCAAATCCTTGCCTTTGCCACGGGAGCGACAGTGATCCCACCAATTGGCTTCCAACCTATGCCATCTATTGATTTCCTGCACGAGGAGGAGTATGGAGACTCTGCTGTGTCAAACCTCCCTCTTGCAAATACATGCATAAACTGTCTCAAGCTGCCGTTGCACAGCTCATACTCTGTGTTCAAGGCAAAACTGGACTTTGCCTTTGCCAATACACATGGCTTTGGCAGAGCTTAAATTGTCCAAGACAAAATATTGTTGTTACACAAAAAATACAGTGTTTTCATTGTCTTTGTTATTAAGCAAGGAAGTTGTTGTATCACTGTTAATGTGACATAATCTCATTGGAAAACAACCAACATTGTATTTTAATGTTGTCATTTTTGTTTTTTTGTTATAAGATGTCAGAAAACAAATGCTAAAGAAAACCACAACAGAAGTACTCCAAGCCTCTATGGGGCGCTAAGTGGAACAGTTGATTTTCGACCCGATGGAGAGAGATCAAACAAGAGGACAATCCACAGGAGAAAAGTGAACTATTATTAAGACACTTTTAATTAAATGTAAAATACTAATCGCCAATGTAAAAACAAAAATAACCCTTTCTTTATCGTTTCTTTAGTCCACTTTTGTCCCATGGATTTTCCTCATGGTTGGTCTCTGTTGGGTCAAAAATCAACTGTTCCACCTAGCGCCCCCTAGACGCCTTAGAATTCTGACTTTAAACTCAAAATTCTGAAATGCTCACTTTTGGTCAGAAATCAAAATAGTTCCCATTTGGCCCTAAACCTCTTAGAGAGCACATTTTAATTACATCTATTTGAAATGTTATATGTCCCACATCTTCTGTGTGAACTGTTCAAGGCCTTATAAGTCATGTTGATAACTTAATAGGCCCTACTACAAAAAACACTTTGCACTGTCCATGTGCAATTTTTTAGGTCTCTGCTGTTCCTGCCTACTGATACACTTGTTTGTTCAGACTTCTGTAAAATTGCTCTTATGTACTGTGTTGCTGGACAAAAAGCAAAAGAGAAGAAAATAAATTGATGCCTAAGTTTCCATCATCATGTAGTGGATCAAACTGTTGCTGTATTGCTTGAGCTATTGTGTCATTAACAGTAGCTATAGCAGGGATTATAACATTATTATTTGTCTGTATTTCAGGTAAAGGTCCTTCTTCATTTATCCCATAATAGTCATTGTTGTCAAAAATGTGATCCACAGCTGTATTTCCCTGTCCCATATAGTTAATTATACCTGCATGCCAGAGCTGTAGTGGAGTACGACCCCCCTGTGTGGAGAGTCCATGGTGGTTCCACTGATTGATGAACTCTATTGTTGCTGTTCTAATTCTAGGCATAAAAATATAATGTAGACAAAACAAATGATACTCATCTAGAGAATCTAGTATATAGATGGACTCCATGTAATTGAAAAGACTGATAAAATGTCTACTTACTACTCTATTAACTTCAGCCCATAACCTTTCAATGCGTTGATTGTGAACCGAGGACCCTGCAATGACACTATGTCTATTAAGTCCCCTTCTTTCAAGCATATAACGGGCAACCAATATATTCTCCATGCCATGATCACATCTTACTCTAGATGGTAATCCAAAATTGTCTACTCCACTCACAAACAATGTCAATACACTCGATGCTCTGTTATTATCCAGACAGGTAAGATAAATGATAGATCGACTAAATCCATCGACACAGCCATGAAAAACCATCCTCCATCGTGCCAACTTGTGGTTGCCGTCAAAGTGCCTGTAAAATAGAATAAAAAGGAAAACATAAGTATAATTGCAGAACATTTAGTAGGATATTAAAACAAATGAAATGTTTTTGACATAGAACAGCAAAATTAGACGCTTGTGTGAATATGCACGAGATTAAGCCTACACATGTTTAATTGTATACTAATAATTACTCATGCACACATTAATAAATATATTAAAGTATAAAGTATAAAATAATTGAGGTAGAAAACACTTAACACATACTGTAAATATTTCTTAAATACTATTAGTTAATCAAATTAAGTTGTAATGTTCTTACCACAGTTCATTAGACGTCTGAACATCATAAATGCGTCGGCGGATAGCATGCCTCCTGCGAATTGCTCTTCCTACAGGGTCAACTTCATGAAGACTCTGTCTTATACGCCATCTTTGGATCCTTAACCCCCTTGATCTGAGACTTCCAGTTATATAAGCCTCTTCAGCATTTGGTGTCCTCTGTAGTACATCAGTAATTATCTGGTTCAACTCTTGATTTGTCAAAACACTGTATTGTAAACCCTGGATCTCAAGGTTTTGCCTGTGTCTGTACAGGGTGCGGCAGCTGATCCCAAAGCAATTAGCGATTGCTCTCCAATTCATTCCCATTGACAAGCAATGTGAAATTTGAGCATTTGTAATGCTATAAGCTGGACGACCAGGCAAATTAGTGTTAACAGTAGGTGGAATTATTCGACTGTTAGCTGTAACACTGTATCTCTGAGTTGCTTCATATTCCGTTAGAATAGATTGCAAACATCCATATAAACTCTCAATCATGACAAAATATTGTCCATGGATTGGCTCATTACCAGTTCGGGATTCCATGAGAAGTTCTGATAATGTCCTTGTGTGATGATCAAGCTCACGATAAAGCCTCCCCTGTTCAAAATCATCTCCCACACGTTGTCTTCTAATACTATCAATACAGTGTAGAGTTCTTCTCAAAACGTTTACAATATCTTCCTCATTACACTTTGCAATAAATACAAAATTCTGAATATGAAAAAGGAGAAAAATAGTTTTAAAAAGCATGTTTGTTGAGGTCACAAACGGTCAGATTATGAGCACTTGTTTTGGATAATTACTTTCTGGTTTCGCTGGGAGGCAGATGTACTTCCTGTTGTAAAGGTCAGTGTTGTTAAGCTGCAATAAGCTAACAAGCTAACTACACCCAATTTGAGCCAGAACCTTTCCTTTTTTGTTTGATCATTTATTGAAGTGATTGATATTTCAGGCTGAGAGGATAATGGCCTGTTAAATATGGTTGATTAAGCTGTGTACTTCTAGCCGACAGTTATGTTAGCATTAGTTCGTTAACAGTAAGTAAATATAAGACTAACCTCTGTACTCCAGCTAGCCGGCTACTTCTGTTGCTCCCGGTCTGCACGTTTTACGTTGCTTAAGGTAAGTGAACATGAAACTATTCAGCAAAACTTTCAATAATAATCTAAGGTATTTATTGCGTTTTGGGATATTACTTGCATACAAATCTATAAATGCCTTAAGGTTTCTAAAACATACAATATGTGGTAAATTCAACAGTGGACCCAGCAAAGATTCACATTTTTGCATGATTTTTGTTATTGATTTGTTGCTGTTACTTAATTATACTTTTAATAAATTCAAGTCAAGCTTAGTTACATGTGATGGTAGCTATATGCTCTCTGTGTGCCTCCTCCGCAACCAGACTGTATTCAAACTCTTAAGTACCAGTTCTATCTACTTTAAACAATTAAAAAGACAAAATCAACTACATTTATTGATATACCAATCTTTATTTTTGGGGCCTCTTCTTCTTTTAAATTAAACTTTCAGACATGAGATATAGAAATACAGTAATAGTTTTGTCTATTTACAAAATAATGAGCCATTCCTTACAGTTAACTTCATATTTCTTATTGTGTAAAGCATTTATGACACACATTTCCCCCTCATATTCACAGTGTGGATCAATTGAGACAGCGTGCAGAGACTTTGGGAGAAACCTCAGCATGACGGATGTCCTGTCTGTGGGTTTGGCTGGAGAGGACTGAGGTGGAGAGGTCTTTCTCTGGCAGGAGGACCAGGCCTGATGGAGGAGGACCAGGCCTGATGAAGAAACCACCTAACTGCATCTGTGAGCACATACTGGGCTCAGCTGTGACAAACAAATGATGGTCCTGTTTGACTTTGTGTTCACAATAAAAGTGTAGTTTCTTAGTGAATGTCCTGTATTGGTCTTTAATCTGAAATCAGCTTTTCATTTTCTTCTTGCCCCTCTGAGAAAACGGTGAGGCAGTTGTGTCCTTCAGGTATGTCCTTTCCTAACAGAAATGACAAACATATGACATTATTGCAGAGCAAGTGTGTTATTTATGAAAGGTTTGTTTATTTAGCGGCTGTAGAAATAATGTGTTTTTTTTTATTTTAATGTGTTTTTTTAATTCAGCACTTTGTACTACAAAGATAATCAGATTATGAATGAACAGTCTGCAGTTAATCAACATTAAAATATCTTATTAAATAATATTCAACTGCTCGGTTGTCTCACTGCAAGAACCACTTTTACCACGTCTTTTACAGACAATATGTAGAGACAAATGGTAGCAATTCTCACAATGTAAAATAATAATTGCCTTAAATACATTGAAATGTGAAAGCTGATTATAGTTGTTACTTTATCTATTTAAACCAGAACGTTTCTCGATTCTTTGTACAGTATGAAAGGAGTCTTTGTACCTTTGAGTCCATGCTGAAGTTCACTGATGTTAGGAATAGGTCTGTCTCTCGTGGTCAGCATCCTCTGGTCTGTCTGCATCACCTGGAAACTTTAAACAAACAGATATATATGTAAAGTAACAATGTGTTGGTCACAGACTTGTTTTTACATGCAAATGTCATGTGATAATCTTTTTGTTATCCTTAAAAAAAGTGCTGGATATCAAAGCCCTTACTGTATCTTATCAGTTGGATTGTGTATTATTGTATAGTTGGGGTCCTTTTTATTTTAGAATCGTTTTTCATGAGACAGTCAATTTAAATATTTGTCCTATACCATATTCACATTCATTTGTAACACACACGTAAGGGTAAAAGACAAACATCTTCAACAAATGTAATGCAATGAATAAGCTTCATTGTCACAGAAGCACACATAACGTCATATCTAATATTTAAACAAATCATTTCCTTGTCCCTAAAGCATTGACTGAGCTATTTTTCGTCCTCAAATGCAGGCATTAAGTTACATGTTCACGTTCTGCTGCCACAATAAGTCGGTTTCTCCAGTGTAATGATAATAAAATGCTAAGTAAGTATTGGTATAATATTAATAAAAACAACAACGTTTGGGTTCGTTCGTTTAATATGATGAACGTTAACCAGTAAGCTTCAACAATCAACTCCAGCTCAACAAACCATATTGCAATATCTACGTTAACGTTATTTCTGGAACCAACTGGAAATGTGAGATTCATATTTTTCAGATACACAGATCTTATAGTGAGGTTAATCTATGGGTTAATCTCATACAGTACTCTGCTCTTCAACACTAATGTGACGCTAGCTGTCTGCATCGTCGAGCATAGCTATTTTAAATTAACAATAACAATGCATACAGTTACCTAACTAGCAAACTAACTAATGTACAAGCATGACCTTATTTTACCAACCTCACCGAGAAGCCTTATGTTTTACAGTATAATCCTTCTTAATGTTTTACACTTCTCCATTATGTTTTAACTTGTATGCTACGGATAGCATATTTAGCACAGATGTAGCTTCGTATCGCTTGTTAGCTGAATAAAAAGACAAGTAAGAAATAAAGTGCTTGAATTTTACTTACCGAAAAAACTGCATTCATGGACGGTCTGTTTGAACCGCAGAGCCATAAGATAAGTGCGATATTTCAATGAAGAAGAATACTCCACACAACAAACACGTCCGAGTAGCAGCCTGGAGCTAATGAAGCTAACGGGGATAGCAAAGAGACCACTAGCAGATGACTTCCGTTACATTAGAATGACTTCCGTTACAGCAAGAATGACTTCCGTTACAGCAAGAATCCCCTCACACACACATAGGTGAAACACATGCACATTCCCTACTGAGAACCTTTCAGTAAAATGTTTTTCAGGAGTGTGTGTGTGACGTTAATTTTCAGTAGTGTGTGTGTGAGGTGTTCAGTTGTGAATGTGAGAGGATTTCAGTAGTGTGTGTGTGAGGCTTAATTTTCAGTAGTGTGTGTGTGAGGTGTTCAGTAGTGAATGTGAGAGGATTTCAGTAGTGTGTGTGTGAGGTGTTCAGTAGTGAATGTGAGAGGATTTCAGTAGTGTGTGTGTGAGGTGTTCAGTAGTGAATGTGAGAGGATTTCAGTAGTGTGTGTGTGAGGTGTTCAGTAGTGAATGTGAGAGGATTTCAGTAGTGTGTGTGCAAGGCCAGATGTTTTCAGTAGTGTGTGTGTGAGGTGTTCAGTAGTGAATGTGAGAGGATTTCAGTAGTGTGTGTGCAAGGCCAGATGTTTTCAGTAGTGTGTGTGCGAGGTGAGTTTGAATTTTGGCCTACACGGCCCTTCATATTTGTTGCATATTGGAACAACCATATGCGAGTAGTTAACGACTAGTTAGTTGACGACTTATAAGTCGTCAAAAATGGTATATTGTCTGTTAGCTTACGACAGCCCCGATTGAGCTAGCAACTTTTTTAGATGTCAGATAAGCTACTCTGACTTCCACATCATCTGTCTCTCACAAACACACACACACACACACACACACACACACACACACACACACACACACACACACACACACACACACACACACACACACACACACACACACACACACACACACACACACACACACACACACACACACACACACACACACACACACACACACACACACACACACACACACACACACACACACACACACACACACACACACACACACATCACTTATCACTTATCACTTATCACTTCAGGGGACATTACATTGACTTACATGCATTTCCTGGAGACTTATCCTAACCTTAACCATAACCAACACATGCCTAACCCTTACCCTAATCCTAAACCTAACCAAGTCTTCACCCTAAAATTAATGATCCCCCTCATGGGGACCTCCAATTTGTCCCCATAAGGGAAGCCAGTCCCCACACGTGACTATGTAAACAGATTTAGGTCCCCACAAGTATAGTAATGCTAGACCACACACACACACACACACACACACACACACACACACACACACACACACACACACACACAACACACACCCACACCACACACACACACACACCACACCACCACCACACACACACACACACACAACCACACACACACACCACACACCACACCACACACACACACACCACACACACACATCACACCACACACACACACCACACACACACACACACACACACACACACACACACCACACACACACACACACCACACACACACACACACACACACACACACACACACACACACACACACACACACACACACGGAGCAGGTCACAGAGTGACTGACTCCGCCACTGACAGCCGACACACAGTACCAGTGCGGTGAGGACATGGAGAACTGTTTGTTGCGGTTTTGGACGCATTGCCAAAGCGTGGAGGTGGCTGATTACCTTTCCAGGTTGTCGCACATCTTCAACCTTGGGGAGGGGGAGGATAATGTGACGGAGCGGGTCACAGAGTGACTGACTCCGCCACTGACAGCCGACACACACACGCACACACAGTCACACACCAAACATTTCCTGCTCTCTTCCTAAAAAGGAACCATGCAATGTATTATTTATTGTGTGTTTGTTAATTTGTTAAATGATTATGTTAAGAGGTGGTTAACCTGTTTATGTTTGGGTCGGATTTTTTTATGTTGACAATGTTGTTTGAGGTAATTGCGTCACCTGTTGACGGTAAGCCTGTGGGAGGGGCTATGAGCTCCAAAGGGACGGGGTTTGGCCCTGGAAGGGATCACTCGGAAGAATGTTGCAATGAAGGCAACAGCTGGGACATGTTCAGGAGATGGTTGCAGAGAAGGCAACACCAGAGCATGTTTACTCTAATGAGTGATGGACGGCCTGTTTTGGATTTTTATTTTGCTGTTTAAATTGTGCTGGTTCCGTTTTTTTGTTTTGTTGCTGTTATTAAAGTTTTGGAGCTTAACCCGACCGACTAGGCCAGTGTTTGTGAACGGACAAATAGAGCCCTGTCACATATGGTGTCAGAAGTGGGATGGCTAGTCGGAGGAAGCTGGGCGGCGTTGCGGAGCGGCGAACGGGACTACGATCCCGGCGTCAGCAGCAGGAGGAGAGCGCGGCTGCCGGGTCGGAGCGGGCATCAATCAATCAATCAATCAATAGGATACGGCTGTAATAGGCCTAAGGCCTTTTAGTCGCTCATAAATAAATGAGTAGATCACCGATTCTTTATTTACTATAGATGCTGGCAACAGTCACATAGTCCAAAGTGAAGGTGATGTTTGACCAGTAGTGGTCGAGGCGAGATTTGAGACAGTTAACCGTCTTGGATGTGACAACGCTTTCTGGCAGATCATTCCACAAGTCAACCACACGCAGGCTGAAAAAGTTGCGGCGGATAGCCAGTCTTGAGTACTGTTTCTTCAACTTGAGGCAGTGTCCACGAGTCCTGGTGTTATAATCCCGTTGTAGTGGGCATGATGTTTTGTAGATGTTGTGGAGATATTTGAAAACTTCGATCATATCTCCCCTCGCCCTTCTATAATACATACTCGGGATTTTAAGACTTTGCAGTCGTTCTTGATATGGTAGGTCCTTTAGTTCTGGAACCAGCTTCGTTGCCCTTCTCTGTATTTTCTCGATGAGCTCAGCATCCTTTTTGTACATGGGGGACCAAGCGACATTCCCATACTCGAGGAGTGGCCGTACAAGAGAGATGTATAAACTACGTACTACGTCAGAGTCCAAATAAGTGTATGATCTGCGGATCATTGCTAGGATACCATTCGATTTGTTACTTGCCCGACGGATATGGTCACTAAATGTCAGGGTATTGTCAACATTCACACCAAGGTCCTTTTCATTCTGAGTCTCGGATAGGTTTATAGTGTTTGAATTATCACCCATATTATACTCATATCTTGTATTCAGAAAACCTAAGTGCATTACTTTGCACTTTGCTGCATTGAATTTGAGTTGCCAACACTCGGACCATCTTTG